ATCGAATCGAATCATGAAATCAAAATCGTGAATCGAATCGAATCGTGAGTTGAGTGAATCGTTACATCCCTATTAATGACAGAATTTTCATTTTTGGGTGAACTATACCTTTAATATTTTCACGGAAACCGTGCTACATTTTTTTTCAGGATACTTTGATGAAAAGAAAGTTCAAAAGAACAGCATTTATTTAATAAAGAAAACAAAATTATTAATATTTTACTGTCAGTTTTGATTAAGTTAATGTATGATTGCTGAATAAACGTTTTTTTTTTTTTTTATCTTACTAACCCCAAACTTTTGAACAGTGGAGTACACTTGGTCTGCTTTTTAAGACTGCTTCAGTTGGCCTAATGCCTCAAATAAATAAATAAATATTATGAACAAAAAGTTGTCAACTGCAGATGCCGTGACTAGGTCTAACACCTCCAAAACACCGCACACACACCCTTAAACGTACAAAAAACCAACAAAGGTGTCTGTTGAGTGTTTTCGTGTAAGGACATGCCCTCTCTGAGATAAGCTGAGCAGTACCTGGCTCATCTGTTATGTCGCTGGTCTCTGTCTCTTCAGCTGATTCTATTTCTTTGACGAAGTTGGAAGGAAAGAGCCCTGACTTCCCATTCATGCTTCCGCTCCACCAGCCCTCCTCAACCTAAAACACAGTCAGCACTAATACAGGAACTGTCCATTCAAACGCTCATTTTCAAAGACAGTGGGTCTCAACTGGTTTCACTTCAGGATGCAGATTTTACACTGGACATCAAGTTACAAACCAACACAATAGCAAAATAGTTTAAAGCACGAAGCAAAACTGTCCTAAAAAATGCAAAGACTTTTTTAATGTTGCTTGAATTTTGATAGGCAGAAACAAAAGAAAACAAAAAAATAATTGCCATAAAAGAGCCATATTAAATGTAATCTGGCTTAAAGTAGTCTTTCATTTCATTTTTTTTTTTTTAAGATGAGGGAGATGTCAAGCATGTTGGCCATATTGGTATATGTCCATTTATCTGGTTAGCATCTACTAAGCTAGAATAATCTGCACTACAATATTACAGTTTGATCAGAAACACTGTCTTTGACAAACAACACATGATATATGAAGCATTCAGCCTATATATGCCCATTTATTTTATTCATTTACTAACTATTCACAATTATATGATTACTTGAATGGTTTAATTTGCATTTTATATAGTTGATTTCCTTCTTGTCTGCAACCCTATCAAAACAGACTTTGGGCCACAAACCACCGTTGGAGAACCACTGATCTTCAAACCATTATGGATGAAGTCACAAAGAATGTTTGAGAGAGAGTATGTAAAATAAATAAATAAATAAACTACATTTTTATTACTAGCTCATGAGAAACATCTGAGCGGGCAACTAAAATTACAAATGAAACTTAAGGAACATCTAACTACTTTATCATCATATCTCACACTGCAGCATGCAAAAAGCCTATCAAAGAACATTTGCTGTGCGTGGATTTCTATAAATAGAAAACTAATATATTCAGCACAATTTCAAAACATCGAGTTACATTAAATACAAAAGACAGCAGCTACTGACCTCCTGAGTGATGTCAATGATATCTCCAATCTTCAGTTCCAGCTCGTCTTCATTCTGAGGCACATATTCAAACAGGACTTTGCACTGACGCTTCTTGGGCTCTGTAATGAAAACACAACAAGTCACTCTGGATCTGGCCTGACACGTCGCTCAGCCAATAACACTTGTATGCAAGGGGAGCATTTCCTCCAGCTACCTGAAGAGGGCTCTGAGTAAAGACTAGCACAATCAGGAAGAGTCTTTATTAAACTTGTATGCACACATACACTCTCACACACAGATGCCACACCCTGTCCTTGAGATGATTCATATGCCCTTTAAGGAGAAAAGAAAACGGCAGATTACTCTGTTTGCTCCATATTACATGCCAAATTAAGACATGTTACCGGTCACCCAAAAACTAAACTGAGAAATCTTCTCCACTACTAAATATTCTAATGCTTGTACATTACAGTTGAAAAGTTTGGGATCAGGAAGATATATATATATTTTTTTAAATATTACATTTACTCCGTAATGATGACGCATTAAATTGATTAAAAGTGACAGTAAACATTTAAAATGTAAAAAAAATAAATAAAAAAAAGGCTTTTATGTCATAAATGCTGTTCTTTTGAACTTCACATTAAAATAATTCTGATAAAAATATACATAAATTATTTTTAAACAATTTTTAATGTATCAATTATTTTGTCTCATATGCTCATCAAGGCTGCTTTATTTTATCAAAAATACAGTAAAAACAGTAATAGTGTAAAACATTTTCAAAAGTAATTTATTCCTGTATGGCATAGCTGAAATTTCTGAAGCCATAACTCCGGTTTTCAGTGTCACATGATCCTCCAGAAATCATTCTAATATGCTCATTTGGTGCTCAAGTAACTTATCTTAATTATTATGTTGTTGTGCTGCTTAATTTTTGTGTAAACCATTAGACATTTTTCAGGATTCTTTGATGAACAGCAAGTAAAAAAAACTGCAATTATTTAAAAAATACATTTTTTTTTACATTATAATTGCCTTTACTGTCCCTTGCGATTAATTCATTGCTAATCAATTTAAAGCTTTTGATCAGTTTAATAATTATTGCTGAATAAAAATATTACTTTCTTAAAAAAAACTTTCTGACCCCAAACTTTTGCATTTTTTTAGTGTACTACTACTACTTAGTATTAAGTTAATACCATGGTACATGAATATAGTAATAATTCATTATCACTGTATATTGAAATACTACAGTATTGGCATCAAATTCTATTACTGTATCATTGTACCGCCACAGTACTGTTTAGTTTAGTAGAAGGCTCTCTATGGCTGGCTTGTAATGTACGCTGCACCGAGCAGAAACTAAACAAAATATACCTTATTTCCTCAATGGTACAATGTGATAAACCTGCACAGGAGCACAGAGGAAGAGAATCAACACAACTACATTCCACTGTTATCACTGTTTTAGATGATTTGTTCAGCAGAAACCTTGAAGGTAGGACAGCACCACAATCGTTGAGTGTTCTGTGACAATGTTCCCATGCAGCTGGAGAGGATCAAGTGGACTTCCTCTAAAATCTGAGACAGTCGTACACTCAAGACTCAAGACAGAGGAAATGAAAACAGGCTTCATGAGCCGACAAGAAAACAACTGCTGCCCACTACTGGCCAAAGCCACCATCAGCTAAACATTTTTGTGCTAAACTCTGATTCCATCAAACCAAACACAAACAAAAAAAAAATGGTGAAAGATCTTACCATATGCTGTATTATGGTAAACTATATAAAAATCATCTCAGCCAGCTGTGACAAATTATTTTGACAACAAAAACTCCCACAATGATACACCAATAACCAATCGACAGTAAAGATGCTGTAAACCATCATGCTAATGTCATTGTCCACTAGACTGAATTAGACCACCACAATCTATAGACCACATGGCCTTCATCCAAAGACATGTCAGCAAACTCAAACATGCAAAATGATTTACAGTTAGAACGTGTTTCTGATTGGCTACTTTTGCTCAATGGCTAAAAAGCTTGGGTGGATTTGTGACAATTGTTTTGCTGTTATTGAGTCCAGGGCTGTCACAGAGACAGATATGTGGTCTGTCAGGAAGAAGGGACATTTTATGTGTGGCATTCTAAAAACAAAATCTCTAAGAAAAAGAAGAGTAAAAAGCTGTTAAGAATTTGAAATGAAAAAAGACGCACTCTTTTTTGAGGCACGGGGCTGAGAATGAGGTTGTAAGCCAATTCCTCCTGCCGGGATGCCGTAGGTACTGATCCTTTGCACCAGGCTCGCCACATTCCCTGATGCTCGCCGCTGTATCGGAGTCTCATCTTTCACCTCCTTCACTTCTTTAGCCTCCTTTGGCTCATCTTTGGACTTTGGCTCATCTTTTTTCACCTCCTTGATTCACACACACACACACACACACACACACACACAAAAAAAGAATCAAATATCACATATAGCATCACATATAACAGCAGTATGGCAAATCACACATCATGGTAAAAGTAATTTTATACCACGGACACAACATGTATCATGGTATTTTCCCTGAAAATGAAAATGAAAATGCTTTATATATTAAATATAATCACATGACACTGTGTTATTTTTGAAAGTTAAATGAAAGTTAATTCATCCTTTTAAATTATTTTCTCAGTTTGTTTGGAACCTGACAGACATTATATCTTCCAAGTCATTTCTCTCATATTAATTTGTCTCTGTATATACACGTTACGCCATGTTTCTTTGTCACTCATAGCATTGCTAGTATATATACTATGGTATAAATGATTTAGCAAAACCTGTTTGATAAATAAATACAGAATTTTTTTTTTCAGTAGTACAATAAATAAAAAATCTGAATTTAAGGCAGTTTAAATAGAAATGAAAATGTCTGAGAGAATTCAACATCTATATATGTACAGCACCTGTAGGTTTTGTTTTGAATGCATGAATTCTTTGTTAGGTTTACATTCTACATTTACATTTACATTCTTCACACCCACGTCATATAAAACTCTACAGAAACCACTGACTAGCACCTACACTCACGGTTTCCAAACACATGTGAATTCAGCAACACCACAGCCTCCCTCACACATTCAGAAAAAGGTGGGAAGAGAGAGACAAAAGAGAAACAAAGGAGTGATAAGATCTCCAACGACTTCAGACAGCCGTGTACTCATACGCCCCGAAAAGCAAGTTCTCAGCTCATCCAGCTGAAACTTGCTCTGTGCTTATCTCTCTCTCAATGATATTTGTATTTGGTATGGATATTAAGAGGATCTGAAGTATAGCACTTCATACTGTGAACAAGAATAAAGAATCCTGAGCTGGTAGAGCCAGTGTATTACACCTATTTAGCGTCTAATTCAGCACTGAATTAAGAAACCTTTTAAATTCTTGAATTTTAATTAAGGTAGCACTTAGAATGTAATGAAGCGGAATTTAAATTAAATGAACTTCAAAAAATGGTTTTAAAATAATATATTTCTCCATATCAATTACCAATAAACATGTCAGCATAAACAACATATGGGGTGTTTGCCCCAAACTTTCGAATTGATTTAAAGTTGTCTGAAATGTGTCTGTAGGAGTGGTGAAATCATAATCTAAAACCTAAAATGATAAATAATTTGAAAGAAATTGCATTCTACAAATCAGGGAATTAAATGTTTAATAAATTAATTATAAATAAATCATGCAATCATTTAATGTCAACAACTTTAAATCAATTAAATGTAAAACGTGTTTCTTTCACTATGTGAACCTAGTGGCACAATACACATAAATGCAATTACATTAAAATAATAATAATAGTAAAAAAAAAAAAATGTTAAATTGCTTAACCCTCATTTGCTATGCCAACCGCTTTATTTAGTCTACTACCCAAGGAACTGCCATGGATTTTGGGGCATAATACTATGTTGTTTTTGGAAATGTACTATGGTTGATAAAATGACATTCTTTTAAGTACCCTTCAGGGCTGTACAGTGCGACATATATGCTACGAAATAACTGGTCTGTGCAATGAATACATTTACCACTGTAGCACGCGTGCGATACAGTTTTGCATGTTCATAACACAGCCGCTTAATAGTGTGAAGTGATTTCGTTGTGCTTGTTTGTGTGTGTGAGATTGATTATACTTGGTAGTTAGGGGTGTGCGATATGACGATATTTGATTGTGGACGATTAAAATGTCTCCACGATCTGCTTTTGAAGAAATATCGTTGTATCGTGCTACAGCGCACATTCTATCAGCTGCAGTTCTGGTGCTTGACTGATGAACTTATCATCAGTCAGTTGCTTTTAGAAAAGTATAATTGATGTATATAGTGTATATAATGTTTTATTTTAATATTTGTACATTCAATTTCTTGAATTTTACTGCTAAATACTGTACCTGAAAAATGAAGCACTGTTTGTGTTTCTTATTTTCTAATAACAAAGATAAAATAATGACAAAGATTATTATCTTTGCTCACTTTGGCCTAAATGTCTGCCATTCTTTTTTATTTTATATTTTGTTAAGGTGTAAGAGGTGTTATGTTTCTGCACTCTTCCATTTTTAGCAAATTAAGAAAACTTTGTCTAAAAACAATTTTTGTGATGGTTTGTATTTTTTGTGCTCTGTATGGAACATCAATGCCTGTTTAAGTGATGAACTCCATTACTTGTGTTTGTTTTCAGACATGATAACAGACGTTTTATACTTGTGCTACAACTTTTTGGCCTGTGCTACAAAACTTTCAACCTCTGTAGCACCAGTGCTATGTGAAAAAAAAGTTAACGTACAGCCCTGCCCTTTAATACTATGGTAAGCACCATGTAATACATTCAGTACTACGTAATACATCAAAGTACCCTAGCATTATTCTAGCATTGCCACAGTATTACCACAGAAACTCTACAGAAGTCTTTTTAGCTGGGTTTAGACGGACTCAGACAGAGTTTGGGTTTGAGAGAAAGGCATGTGGAGCAGCACTCTTTGTTTCCTGGAGGCTCCGGTGCAGAATGGAGAATGCCACAGGCTGCATCCGCTCCAAACTTCCTGTCTGAGATGCTGACAAAGAAATTCCTTTTTGTTACTCCCTGCTCAGTAACTAATTTGAGGTCAGCCTTCTCAACCTTTTTAAAGCTCCTGGTTTTCTTATAATACCTAAATAATTAATCATTATAATTAATAAATAAATATACAAAATTATCTGTACATGAAACCAGTGTACTGAAAGCGGTACATTTAATCAGTTAAAAAGAGTAAATCACTTCAAAAACTATTCCTGTCTAAAAATAAATACATATAAAAAAATGAAATCTTTATTTAAAACACAAATGTTCTAAATGCACAATTGTAGAAAATTAACTTTAAGAATGCAATAAAATTGTGCCGTTAGTGTAAAAACATTTTTTTTACTAAATAATTATTTTCTGGTTATGCTTTTCCAGTAAGCGCCCTTTAAATCCTGTGCTATCTGCGATTAGTCTGGTGATTCAGCAAAACAGGCAATGAAATCCAGTGCCATGTTATGAGAAACTAAATGAACAGAAAACCAACTAAAGACAAAACATTTCCAGTAACATGTTTTCCAGACACGACAAGCCCAAGATCTTATTTAGATATGAACTGACAGACAGACAAACTAAAACAAGCTCCTTACCTGCTCGATTTCCATGATCTTCTCCAGAAACCACCTGAGTGCCGACTATCAAATCTTTCCGGGATCAAAGTTCAGTTAAGGGAGTGGAAAATTACCTCACACCCTACTAAAGGGTCTCCGCAAAGAAACGAAAGCAATAATTTCCTGCCTTTGACAAGATTTGCCATTACAATCGTCTTTAATGTGGGTTTCATCACGCTGCTTCAGTAACTACTCAAAACACTAATTAAGAGGTACACAAATTGAAGATGAAACTGCAATACCTGCAATGACACATGGACTTGTAACGTCATACCTAAAGAAAACCACTTCCTTCCTGTTGCCACTCAGTTTTTGCCAACCACAAGGCTTTTTACCTCTCTTTGTTTCCTTACATAAACCCAATATATTAAATAACATAAAAAAAAAGCATTTCTTGAAATTACCTTTACAAAGTTGTCTGGGAAAAGGCCTCGTTTCCCGTTGAGGTCTCCCTCCATCCATCCCTCCTCCTCCATCCGTCGCACATTTCTGATCACATCTCCAAGTCTGAGGGTCAACTCATCTTCGTGGGCGGCTTCATACTCAAACTCCACCACCACCTCAACTACAAAGGGGAGAACAGACAGTCATTGAAAGTCATGCTGTGATTAAGACTCTGATAAAGGTTGTTTGTGACATAATGGCACAGATATAACTTAACAAGTATGCAAAGTAATATACAGCCAAGGCTTTTTTTTTTTTTACACCAAATACAAACTGATAAAGCAAAATAAATGCAGAAATTAATGGTTTCTCTCAACAACAAATGGTCTGTTTGCATTGACACACACTGAAACTGATATTGTATACAATTTCAAATGTATTGATGGTCCTTAAAAGGAATAGTTCACCCAAAAATGAAACTTCTGTCATCATTTACCCACATGACTTTAGGGTCTTTCTTAGGTGAAACACATATGGATAAAAAAAAAAGCACAATATTTATCATACATGTAGTCCAAAAGTCATATGAACGTCACATGGATGAGAAAATTATGAGAATATTAACTTTGGGATGAACTGTTCATTTGCTGCGGGTCAATTTGACCCATTTTGAATTTCATGTTGTCTGAAATACTGGTTACCTTACAATGTTTTTCTTGAAATTTTGCGATTTTTCCTCACTTAGGACCATGAACATACCTGCACTGTTTCGACACTTTGATGTGATAGAATTTCTATTACAGTTATGATGATTATGAGTTAATTTTACCTCATATTTCATTGTTAAAATCAGTTGCACAGACCCAAAATTAAAATAAAAAAATTTCAGTTTCTAAACAAGGAAGCATAAGGGTATTTACATTTATGTATTCGGCAAAAAATGTCTATAATATTATTATAACCATGTTATAATTTTTTTTTGTAATGTGTGATAGGTATTAATTTTAAAGGTGTGCTGATTGTACCAGTTTTTTTTTGTTTGTTTGTTTTACATAGTCTGATTAACTGTAATGAATCCAATTACAATTTCGTAATGATTGTACCCAGATTTTTTACTTAACACAGGCGTTAAAGCTAGGGCTGCCACTAACGACTATTTTTATTTCGATTAATCTATCTACTAATTTATCGATTAATCTAAACAATTAATTTCCCACAAAAAAAAATCAAACATTTTAAAGAACATTTTATTAAACTTGCAACTTTGCCATTCAGTAGTGTACCATAAAAAAGTATAAATGTAAACAAGCCATTGACGAAATGTAAAACTAAAAGAGTAAAAATGTAAACAAACCTAATAAAAATGAAATAAAAAGAAAATAATTACAAAAGTCTGAGAAAGTCAGCATGTTCTTAATGTCAATATATCCACATGTTCTGGGCTTCTGTTCATTACAGCTGTGAGTGCAACTACAAAGGGGAAAAAATTAACCCGAACAGTTGGGTTTTCACATTAAATAAATGCAATGTTTAGAGTCCACTAAGATCAAGTATTAAAATTGTATTATTAAAATTTTATTTTAAGTTATTATTATTAAAAATGTTAAGTATTAAAAGTACTCTTAGAAATGTGCAAACAACAGATTTAAACAGACATCTCCAGCATGATGAAAAAAATTAACAGAGGACTTCAGTATAGGGATGCTCCGATCCACCTTTTTCGCCTCCGTTACCGATTCCGATACCTAGGGTTCGGTATTGGCCGATACCGATACCGATACCGATCCGATACCAGTGAAGTTTTTTTCCCTCATTTAAATAAATGTAGAATTTATATATCTCTGTGTGTGGAACTGATAATCATTCTTTCACAATCTACTAGATTCAGAATACTTCATTATAAAGAAAAATAAAATAAACAAATATGAAAAAACATAGGCCTATGTATATTTCTTTTCTTTTATTATATTGTCTTTCGGATGAGACGTTAAACCGAGGTCCTGACTCTCTGTGGTCATTAAAAAAAATCCCATGGCACTTCTCGTAAAGAGTAGGGGTGTAACCCCAGTGTCCTGGCCAAATTGCACCCCTGGCCTTTGTCAATCATGGCCTCCAAATAATCCCCAACCACTTGATTGGCTCTATGACTCTCTCTCCTCTCCACCTGGTGGTAAGCGCGCTGTCCTGTGGCTGCCGTCGCATCATCCAAGTGGATGCTGCACACTGGTGGTGGTTGAGGTGGTTGAGGAGCACATGATTGTAAAGCGCTTTGGGTGTACAACAATACACAATAAAGCGCTATATAAAATGCATCATTCATTAATTTATAATCTATGACAAAAATTTATCATAAACTAGGTTAGTGGATAA